GCTGTAGGTCGCACTGATCCGAAGCTAGGGGCGCTCGAAGGCAAACGAGGTCCTGCGAGGATGGATCATCAAGTTACGACGGGGTGATGTTTTCGTACAAAAACAGAAACAAAACTTAAGAAACCTCTGGGCTGAGCAGTACCGTGCGAAATAGGTGCCGTAGGTCGAGGTCCTGCTCCGACGGTAGGCGCGCGAGGCCGTGGTTGTACCGGACCAGCTGGAGGTACGACGTCCACGGCGCTGCGACAGGAGAAGACGCGCATGACCGCACGCATCTTCTCCTGCATCCGGTCGAAGGTCACCCTCTGCTCAACGTCAGTCAAGTGCAAACCTCTGTTCAACCTCACTTGGACTGCAGTGATATCGGCACTGATATCCCGTGCGGCATCAGCCTATGCAAGATGGAAATAACAAATTCAGTAGTTGTCCTATATTATGCAAGATAAATGAAATAATTGTAAGAAGTAATACAAATTGGATGTACCGCCACGAAGTAGTCTCGGTCACGGTGCGTGGGATACGCGTCCGTGACAGCGGCAACGTGCGGCTCTGGGGCGTCTGGAGTGAAGGTCACACGCGCACGAGTGCGAGGAAGGTACCAACGAAGGTAGTCACGGTAGTTCTCCTCCGTGTGTGGGAAGAGCTCGTTGATCACCTCCTCTGTAGCTAACACCCAGTCGTCAACGTACTGCTGTACACGTGGAGCCCAAAGTGCGCCTGCTAGCTGTCCCCGTCGAGTCAACCTGTGAAGAGAGGTAAATTATATGGCTCGATGAAGTAATTATCATAAAAATTTAGAAATGAACAATCCGAACTCACGAGTGGTCGGCAGGGAGGACGGTCGGCTGCACGTTGCCCGGAAACACCTGCCTAAGTCCGAACTGTCTCATCACACGCTGCGGGCAGTGAGGCTCAACGAAAATGTCGAACACCATCGGCAGGATGGTGAGCCAGTAAGCCTGGTCGCGTGTGCACAAGGACGAAAGTCCTAGCGGTGCTCTCGCAGCGACGGCCTCTTCTGTGTACGGCTCCCAGATGACGTCGCTCGGCTGGAGACGGTCAAACTCGAACACGAAGTCCGGGTAACCACGTCTCACCTGGACGTGAGCGTAACGACGCTGCAATAAACATGATCGGAATTAGACATGTTATGTGAAGAAAAAAAAAGACGACTGATAAACTTATAACGCAGCGAAGTTGCACTAACCCCACGTCGACACCAGTAAGTCCCCATCGTGGGACCGTCCTCTGGCCACTGCGCGCTGCGACCAACCCCATAGGGTGCGCTGTCCACCACTGGTCGACCTATGGCAAACCTCTCGGCTGCCCAAAGCTGAAGCAACATAGGGCAGCCAGCGATGATCGCTCCCGCGTCAGTCTTCGTGCACGCCTCACAAAGGGCACGGTACGTGGCTGCTAGCACGGCAGAACCCCAGCTCCACTGCGGCACGTCCTGTGGCTGAGCATCCGCGATGGACCGTGCGTAGTGGACCAGCCGGAAGTCCACAGCGTGCCCGTGGGTGCTAGTGAACATCACCCACCCGAACAACCACAACAGGTACGCCTCAAGGGAGCGTCGGACCGAGTAATCATCAGCGTCAGGGTGTAGAAGGTCCGCCTACAATTAAGAATGAAATGTTAGTACAAAACACTCATTCGGTCGCAAATAAGCACGTATGATAATAACAACTTATTTACTTACAGTGAACTGGAGCAACCAAGCCTTGCTAGGCCCGACTGTAGAGTACGGAGGAAGGGTGGTGGTCGGTCCTAGGTGTGGAAGGCGCATCACCTGCTCGAAGCGCGCAGTGATATCCTCCTTCCACCCAAAAACACCGTCCACGGGACCAACTGCTGCTCCCATGTACTTTGTCTTCCATGTACTTTGTCACTACGTTGCCAAACACTATGTTGTCATCGGCCATGGACGGACCAATTTTTTTGTATCGATCCCTAAAGTACGCTTGCGTGCCGTGAAGGATGAATTCAACAATAGCAACCAATGGAAGTACCCGAACTCCTCGCATTACCCAGTTGTACACCTCTGCCAAATTGGTTGTCATTATGCCATACCGAGATCCATCGGTGTCGAACAATAGAGACCACTTCTCCTTAGGCTCATTCTCAATCCACTGAGTGAAATTTCTGATGGACGACCCTGACCTCCTTCTCATTGTTGGTGGGTCATCATGTAATGCACCAAGAGGTATGGGAGGCTCGTCACCTTCAACTAGTGGACTGCGAGATTGCTCATCTGTTTGCTTCGTTATCAACTCATCCAACTTGTCCCACAACTCATTAAATTTCTTCTCTTGGTTCTGTGCACAGAGCCTCTTAAAGAGCTCCATAAGATGCTTGTTCTTGAATTGCTTGTAGAAATTTGCACCCATGTGACGCATGCACCACCGACTCCGAACATCAGGCCACTTAGTTGGAAGTCCCTTCTCATCCCAACCGTTCTGCAAGTAGTCAATAGCCCGCAACATACCCGCATGACGATCATGTATAAGGCAAACGTTGGGCCTCATACGCACCACTGCAATGTGCACTCTCTCTAGGAACCAGTACCAGCTTTCAGTGTTCTCACTCTCTACAAATGCAAAAGCCATAGGTAGAACCTGGTTGTTCCCATCACACCCAATTGCTGTCAATATCTGACCTCGGTATTTACCTGTCATAAAAGTTCCATCTATGCATAGAACAGGTCGACAATGCACAAAAGCATTGATGCAAGCACCCAATGAGAAAAAGGCTCTTTGCAGCACACTCTTTGTTCGATCATCAACCGATGTAAATGTATGTAGGTCATAGTACGTATTATTATTCCTCTGGGCAATGGTGGCTAACAAACGAGGCAAATTATCATAAGAAGCTTCAAATGTGCCATACCTCATCTCAATGATCTTTTGTTTGGCTCTCCAGGCCTTTGCATAGCTTATGGTGTACTTGAATTTGTTCTCGATGTGCCTAATAATTGATTTTGGTTCAAAGCCAATGTTACCAACAACACTGCTGTACATCTCACTTGCCACAAAAGCTGAAGTGATGTTTCGGTGATACTTCTCCACCCCTTGTAAGTAGCACTTGTGCTCGGTCACAATGCTAACTTTCCAATAATCATTCCATTTACCCTTATATGCATGGACACGCCACGGACAATCTTCCTTCATGCACCTCACTTCATACACATAATTTGTTGACTTGACCACCCTAAACTCTCTCTGCAAGGAAACTGCCCAATGCTTCACCGCCTCCTTCATCTCATCCTTATGAGCATATCTTGCACCCTCAATTACCTCGTTCTCCTTATACTCCCAGGGTACATGATCACCCTCTGATATAACAAGTCCAGAGAAGTCCTCATTTGCCCAATCAGTGGCCATTACATCACCTTCCTCATCGGATGATGCGTCGTCGTCCACTTCCTCATTATCCGAATCTTCCCTCTCCATTTCATCAACAATTATACCGACTCTCTCCCCCTCATCCGCCATGCCCATAGCCTGCTCCTCCCTTGGTTGATTTTCCTCATTTTGCATCGATGGTCCAACATCCCCTGCATTGATAGGACCCTCTACATCTTCGGTTTGCATTGAAACATTTATATCTTTCTCTTGTACCGACACAAATATAACGAGGGGCCATGACCGTTCAAAAGCCATTTCCACATACCGTCTCCAAGCATCAGTGCTGTCCATCGGCATTAGTTCCCAAAAATAACCTTCTGTTGCACGACTCACTACAACTGACACTGACATTGTGTAGACTTCTTGGTCTATTCTAAATCCTCTCAACAACCAACTATAAATTGACTGAAATGTTCTCTCCGCAGGCCTATCGATGCCCTTAGATGTCATTACAAAATCTGACAGATCAACACCATCTGGACCAAATCTAATATTTCCTTCACCGTGAACTATCTGAAATGTGACCTTACTTGACATTGTGCCTGATGAAAACAATAACTGCGTTAACCTCGCATTTCTGTACTACGCCCTAAGTTACATTCTCTACAATATTGTTCTCTAAATTTCTAAAATTACGTTACATTCTCCAGATCAAACTAAACTACATCTTACAATTAACACTACTGTCTATGTCTCAATTCATACTATTATATTCTATGCTCTGGATCTACACATATGTGCTGTGTGCTACAGATGTGCTAAAATATATGGAACTAAAACTAAAACGCAACATATATACTCAAACATAACATATTAGTACAAATGCACAAAAGATGTATGGGAGCATACCTGTGATGAATTGAGCGAACCAGCAGGGCTTCGCCGCTCCCCTTCTGCTGCCCTCCCCTCTCTCTCTTTTGTTTTTTTTGGATTTTTAGTGAATATAATGAAATTTCACAGAGGAGGGACTGGGCTTTATAGGGGGAGAGGCAAAAATCGCCCTCCCCCAGGGCGGCAAGGGGGCCGCCTGCAAAATTCCATGCCCCCTCGCCGCCCATTTGCAGGCGGCCCCCCCCCACAGTACAAAATCGCCCTAGCGGAGGGCGGCAAGGGGGCCGCCTGCAAAATTCCATGCCCCCCTCGCCGCCCATTTGCAGGCGGCTCCCCCCACAGTACAAAATCGCCCTAGCTGAGGGCGGCAAGGGGGCCGCCTGAAAAATTCCATGCCCCCCCTCGCCGCCAATTTGCAGGCGGCCCCCCGCACAGTATAAAATCGCCCTAGCGGAGGGCGGCAAGGGGGCCGCCTGCAAATTTCGTTGACGGCCGTCGCCCGAGAGCGAACGGCCGTCTGCCACGTCATTTTCGCCGCCCTCTGAGAGGGCGATTTTTAAAAATCGCCCTCCCAGAGGGCGGTAGGCGACTCCTTCCGTCAATTTTCAAAATGGAAAATTATTTTTATAAAACTTTTAATAAAAAAAATTATAAATAAAAAAAATTCGCCAGTCCGGTTTGCCGGCCTTGTGCGCTCGTCGTTTCCTTGTGTGCTCATCTGTCGGTGGGTCTACCATTCAGCTCGCGACGCGTGTGCTTCCTGTATGCTGGGCCCAGTTAGCATTGGTCGAGCCGCTGTCTTCCTCGGCTCCTCTGCTTTGGTCGTGAATCGGTGCCGCCGCGTGTCGGCCATCGGCGAGGCTCTAGCGCTCAGAGTCGCGGGGCCGCTCCTCTCTCTGTCCGCCCCTGTCTCGACTCTCGAGCTATGATGGTGGACTGCTATGGCGTACGGCGGCGACGGGATTGGCTGCTGCTCGCTGCTCCACTACGCGGAGAGCCCCATGACCATGGCCAGGCGATGGTTTGTCCGTTTCCCTCCCTTTCTTCTACAGAGAGTGCTGGTTCTATTCTTTCTTGCTCTTCCTCAGCTCATCTTTTCTTCTCCGCACAGTATCGTCGCTGATCGTATCCTCCCTTGTGCTCTGTTGTTTTCCTCCTACGCCTTGCTCTAGATTGCGCCGTTGTGGTTCGAGGGTTCTTTCGATCATGCGTGTGCCCACTGATTTTTGGGTTTTCTGCTTTCTAGGCTGCGCTGCTGGATTGGGGATTCTCTGTTGGCGTTTTCACTTGGGGGAGGCAAGGATTTGCCTCCCTCGTCTACTGCTCGCAAAGGTATTTTGTGCTCTCTCGTGCACTGGTTACCACCTTTTATTCGGTGTGTATGAGATGAGGTGATTTTATCGGCGAGATATCTGCTTTGTTGATTTCTGCTCCTTATTTTGCCCCCTTCAATTAACAGGAAACAGTTCCTTCACATGTTTATGTTAATTCGCTGATTCCTTCACATATTTGTGTTAATTCGTTTTTTTGTCGTCCTGCTAAGTTACATTCTTTCATAGGTTGCCTCTGTTTCCTTTCGTTTCTGATCTCTATAGATCAGGTTGTTCAGTCGCTGGGATGCCTGTTCGGTTGATTCCACATATGTGGGGTTTCTTTTTTTCCCCTTTAGATTCGACAATAGAGAGATCATGCGAAGTGCTTCTCTGCATCCCACCTCTGTATGACAAATTCTGAATTCATTAGCACATATACACAGCACCGAGAAGAAATTTGAAAGGTGGCTAGGAGAAAAGAAAATTAATCCCCAAGGAAAATGATGTGGTAAAGCATGCCAAGAAGTTAGATTTGTGCACTAGGAATCACAAGAGATGTTCTTGCACTCGTGAGGAAGGAGTGTGATAGCCCCCCTCCTTTGTTTTCCTTTTTTAGAGCATGGTTCAGTATTCCTGCAGAGTAAAGGTCCTACAAAGTAGGAAGAAGCCTTGGCCCTTGGGAGGGTCAGATAACATTTACTTATGCCATCCAAAGTTTAGAAAAAAAATGTGAAACGCTTAGTTGTAAAGATCTGGGCTTGTCTTGTTACTAAAAGCTGAATGGCCAAAAACCGACCAGTTATATTGCAGCTTGAGCCAAAGCTTTCTTGGGAATGTAGTTTGTTTGTATTGTAACCACTTCTTAGGTACATAAATTGGATAAAAATTTTTATGCCTGCTTAATACACATCCATTGGTGATAAGCTGCTCTTCTGTATTTAGGATGTTTTTTGCTCACTTATGTTGCCCCGTGGTTCTTTGGTTTTGCGGCCATGGTCTTCTTCCTCTGTCAGACCTTATGCCATGGTGTGTTTCGGGCAGACTCTCGATGTCATTATGTCTTTCGTCTTTTGTGTTTGTTTTTAACACATCTTTAGGTGTATCTATGTTTGAACCTGCCTCCTGGATTTGTTCTTCATGGTTTCCCACCCTGTGTCCATGGGATATATCGTGCTCTATGCCAGTATTCAGACATTACTTATATGTATCTGTGTTTCGTTCCATGTTTCTGTGGTGGTTCATGCCTCTCTCGTTTATGATTTGTTTTTACATTGCATGCACATTCATATGTATCTGCAATGTGTCTGTGTTTTGTTAGCTTCTTTTCTTGCTGTACAGCTGTCGCATGGAGCGGTCGAGATCCCTATGCATCTGCCCGCAGAAGCGTGTATATGGTACTTGCTGATCTTATTATAGTTGCATGTGGTGTTCTCATAGCCAGCGAGGCTATTAGCGCACATTTTCCCTATTGTTCGCTGATTCATAGTTTTGAACGTCAATAGATGAGTCGTCCTCATGTTATGCTGCCAATGAGCGATCAGTGCTCGCGGCAAGCTCATCATGTCCCATAGGTACATATGCTCGGTATCCTCAGAGTTAGCGAGCTCATCACCATGTTTATTGATTGCTTTTTTTGCTGATTCACAATTTTGTTCGGCGATAGATGAACCATCCTCATCCTGTGCTTGTGCTGAACGCCCAATGTTCATAGGTGGTTCATCATTCTCAATAGGTATGTACGCTCGAAGTGATCATCGCTATCTCATTGTATAGTTCCATTCCTCACCCATTGCATATTTGTTCTCTCATATTTCACTACAATTGTTCTCTCGTTGCGACGTCGTATGCTCGGAGCGTATATTCATATGCTTATGTTCATGTGTTTGCTCATTCGTTCGTGCCAGCACAAATTTATTTTGTTTCCATTTTCTCATTCTGCCTCCTCATCTGAGTGTTCCACAGGGAGTCACGGGCCTTCCCTCATTCATCCTACCCACTCTGCCAGTTACTTCCATGTTGCTATTTGTTTTGTTGTTCGGCTACCTATAACCTTTTTCTTTCTTGCTATTGATTGCCGTGCCTATTTATGTTGTCCATAGGAGACCATTTCTGTCCAATAGTACCATCACGTATTGCTCGGGTTAACCGGGAAAAACGGCGAGCAGCTAGGAAAGCACGTGTCATTGTACGCAAAGGTTGTTCACCTGCTTATCTAAACCCTTCTTTGCGGTCAACTAGGTGGATGCTCTTATTGCTTTCCTTTCTCTTTGTTTCTTATTTGCTATTTCCGTTGCCCCGTTCTTGTTCTGTTTGCACAGAGGCTATCCCGTATTCACCGTCAGTGAGGTTCTCATATTCTATACTAAAGGACTACATGGAGATTCTTAAAGGTGATAACTTAGTGCCAACCTTCCTTCGCTCTACTTTTCTCACTGTTTTTGGACTCTATATCTACTGTTGGACAAATATATCCATGCTCCCTTGCTTATGAGTTGCCCCATTCTTGCAGCTACGTACCCAGAACGTTCTTACTATGGTGGTCCTGATTATCAATGCAATCATTGTGGTGCGCTTTTTTGGTACCAAGAAAGAGTCGTTAGCCAGAGTTCGCATAGGGCTAAGAGGATTGCATACAATTTGTGTTGCCGTGGTGGGAAGATCTCCTTACCTGTGCATAGGCCTTTCCCTCCTATCCTACAATCATTGATTCGTTTTGATGGCGGCGCCTGTTCCAGCTCTTTCATGCGACTCATCAGGCAGTATAATTCATTATTTGCATTCACATCACTTGGAGCTAACATTGACAGGAGCATAAACACTGGTCATGGCCCTTATGTCTTTCGTATCAATGGTGTCGTGCATCATAGAATAGGTTCTTTGCTTCCTTCTCCTGGACGGCGCCCGGAGTACGCACAGCTATACATATATGACACCACCAATAAGCTGCAAAACAGACTTAATATTTTTGACCATGCTGACAGTGCTGTAGATGTCCCTGACCCTGCTATTGTACAAGAGCTTATCTCTATGCTTAACCAATGCAATCCTCTTGTGCAACAGTTCCGGCTTGCTCGAGACAAGCTGCTCTCTCCAAGTGCTCCTGAAATTGCTATCAAACTCATTGGGTCAGGTCATTCTCAGGGTGATCGTTACTGCCTTCCCACTGCTTCTGAGTTGGCTGCACTCATTGTTCCTGGTACATCTTCTGAGATATCGAAGTTTGATGTCGTTGTGCAGAAGCATTCAAGTGAATTGAGTCAGCTTTCTCCCATTCATCCAGCTCTTATGTCACTGCAGTACCCACTTCTGTTCCCATATGGTGATGTTGGTTTTCGTACTGGCATTAAGCTTAGAGAGGTAGATGATCACCCGCCTGGGAGTCGTGATGAGGTGTCCATACTTGAATATTATCGGTATGAGTGCCACTACCGAAAGGATGAGCCCAACCCATTTACTTGATGTGGTAGACTTTCTGATCAGCTCGCTGTTAATGCTTTCTCATGTATCGAGACATCTCGCCTCAACTTCCATACTCTGAGCCAGAAGAAGCTTCGCTCTGAAACACATCAAGGTATATCTGATGCTGTTGCTAGGGGAGACACTAATGGAAAAGATGTTGGTATAAAGGTAATTCTGCCATCAAGTTTCACTGGAGGAAGGCGATACATGGTGCAAAATTACCATGATTCAATGGCGTTGTGCCGTGCCTACGGTCCTCCTCACATATTCTCAACTTTCACATGTAATCCTAAATGGCCAAAAATTACTCAGGCGATTCGTTTTGAGCTAGGCCAGAAACCAAATGATAGAAGTGATATGGTCACACGTGTTTACCATATGAAGCTAGATGAGTACATTACATATATTAAGATTGGACAGGCATTCGGTCCAATACAAGCTGGTAAGTTCCATATCTCATTGATTATAGCTATCCAGTCTTTATACACATATCTTTACCACCACATGTATTGCTTCTGCTAGCTGTTCATATCTTTTTTCTTGCTGTTTTATTTTCCAGTTGTATACACTGTCGGGTTCTAGAAAAGGGGATTGCCGCATTCTCATACATTAACATGGCTCATGGGTCAATTTGGAGATCCTTCACCTGCATTCATTGATAGCCTTATAAGTGCTGAGATACCAGATATAGGCATTGATAAATTTGGGTTTGGTCTTGTTGATGAATTCATGATACATGGCCCATGTGGTGAGCACAATCCACATTCTCCTTGCATGAAAGATGGTAGGTGCTCAAAGGGGTATCCAAAACAATTCTGTGATGTGACTTCCATAGATGATGATGGCTATCCTATCTATCGACGACGCAACAATGGTCGCTATGTGGTAAAGAATGGAGTTAAGCTGGATAATCGGTGGGTCGTCCCTTATAATCTAGCTCTTCTCAAGAAATTTCAAGGTCATATCAATGTGGAATGGTGCAATAAAACGTACCTTATCAAGTACCTTTTTAAGTATGTAAATAAAGGAAGTGATTGTACTGCGTTTGCTTTCAAGCAGAAGGATTCAGAGGAGGCAAACACTAGCAGCGCCAACAATGGTGGGATAGATGAGGTTATGCAGTACATCAAGTCCAGATATCTATCAACTTGTGAATCATACTGGAGATTATATGGGTTTGAGATACATGGAAGAACTCCTTCTGTTGAGCGGCTTGTTGTGCACCTTCCCAATATGCAGTTTGTGACATACCATGAAGAGGCTGACCTTGAAGAGGTTATAGAAGACCCTGATTCTTCCAGAACTATGCTTACTGAATGGTTTGTTGCTAATCAACGGCACATCTTTGCCAGGGATCTCACATACTGTGAGTTTCCCTCCAAGTTTAACTGGGACTCCGACAAAAAAGTCTGGACAAAACGTAAAAGAGGAACCAAAATAGGGAGGTTAAGACATATTCATCCAAGTGCTGGGGAGCCATTCTACCTTAGAATGTTGCTGATGGTAGCTCGAGGTTGCATGACTTTTGAAGATGTCAGGACATACCAAGGTGTGACATACAGCACCTATCGTGAAGCTTGCCAGGCACGTGGTCTTATTGGTGATGATGCTGAATGGGATCATCTCTTTGAAGAGGCAGTTATCTGGGCTACTGCATATCAACTCAGGAACCTATTCATGACTGTTCTAGCACATTGTGATGTAGGTGATGTTAGGGTTTTGTTTGATAAATACTGGAAGTATATGGCAGATGATTTTGCTTACAAGCTAACCAAAGCTCTTGGGGTACAGCGTAGAGCTATTCCGGATGTTATGTTGCAGAACACCTTGCTCAAAGAATTGGATGGCATTTTCTCAAATAATGGCTTATCAATCTCATCATTCGATCTCCCGACACCAGCTGAATGTTCGGATACCAGTGCAGGAAATATGCTTATTTTAGAAGAGCTCAGTTTCAACCAAGGCAGCCTCCATGAAGAGTCTATGTCCATGTATGCTAGCTTGAATGATGACCAGAAGAAGATATATGACAAGGTCTTTGACAGGCTAGCTCATAAGGAAAAATGTATTTTCTTTATATCTGGACATGGTGGAACAGGAAAGACATTCTTGTGGAATGCTATTATGGCAAGGCTGAGGTCAAGAGGCGAGGTCGTTCTTGCAGTTGCTTCTTCTGGAGTCGCAGCTCTGCTCATGCCTGGTGGAAGGACAACTCATTCACGCTTTCGGATACCTATAGATATACATGATCAGTCCATGTGTGGTGTTCGTAGAGGTACAATACTTGAAGATCTTATTAAGAAGGCATCATTGATTATATGGGATGAGGCGCCTATGACAAACAAGCTATGCTTCGAGGCACTGGATAGAACTCTTCGGGATATTCAGTCCGCTGATGATGCAAGTAATGTGCATAAGCCTTTTGGAGGTAAAGCAATTTTGCTTGGTGGTGATTTTAGGCAGGTCTTGCCAGTGATTCAGCAAGGTACAAGAGCTGATGTGGTGGCTGCTTCCTTGGTTGCATTGTGGAACCATGTTGAAGTCTTACACCTCACCATTAACATGAGGCTACATAATCCATCGCTCTCGCAACAAGCCAAGGATGAGCTAGCAGAGTTCGCTAAATGGGTTCTTGACATTGGTGAGGGACGTGTTCCAATGGATAGACGACAGGGTGAGGTTGAAAAGACATGGATACAGATACCTGAGGAATTGTTGCTTACTCCACATGGTGACAAGATTACAGCTATAATTGATGCTGTCTACCCATATTTTCAGACCAACTATGACTGCATCCCGTATCTTGCTCAGCGCGCAATAGTTTGTCCAGTAAATGCAGTTGTTGATGAGGTTAATGATATGATGCTTGCCAAAGTACCTGGAGAAGCAAAGGACTATCTTAGCAGCGACACTATTGCAAATACACTTGAGAAAGCTGCGGATTTTGATCTGTTGTATCCCATAGAATTTCTAAACTCGATATCCATAAACAACTTCCCGGAACATCACATATCCCTGAAAATTGGTTCAGCAGTTGTCCTACTTCGCAACATCAACCAATCACTTGGCCTTTGCAATGGGACAAGATTGCTGGTTACTCGACTTGGTGATTTTATTTTTGAGGGCAAAATCATGACTGGGACAAATATTGGCCAGCTGGTCTGTATTCCACGGATTGTCCTAAGTGGAAATAGTCCGAAGTGGCCTTTCACGCTCCAGCGCAGGCAATTTCCAATCAGACTATGTTATGCAATGACAATAAACAAATGCCAAGGGCAGACATTAGGAAATGTTGGTGTATACCTCAAGAACCCTGTCTTCACACATGGACAGCTATATGTTGCTGTTTCGCGAGCTACATCAAAGGAAGGACTCAAGTTATTGATAGAAGATGATGATGGAAATCCTTGTTCCACCACCAAGAACATCGTCTACAACGAAATATTATCGTTGCTGTAGATTAGTCTTATTGTGGCTATCTCTGCATCACTGTGATGGCTCTTTTGTGAAGCTCTTTGTTCTGTGATCCCATTTGTCGATGCAGCTTTCCTATTTTGTTGTTCCCTTTTGTTTAGCCTTTACTGCCAGCTTGTGTTCGTATATGTGTTGTTCCTGTTTGATCACTTGCTTGTTCCAGTGCCTTTCATGCGTGCTTATCGATTCTTCTTTCTTAATTTCCATATTTCTCTCTTGTTACTATCAGCTGCTTTTAGACATGATTTATTAAAATGCCCTGCACTGAAAATAATTCTCAGCTCCAAAAACAAAAAACTTATATGCTCCACCATAGTCCCTTCAGCAATTACAACTTTGTGCCTTCATATCATGCAGAACATTGTTTGTATAATTCCCCTCTAACTTGCATGATATGTTTTCTGTGCCCTGCAGATGGATTACAGTCTCCTAAAGGATGTCACACAGGAATCACACCGTTGGCGCGTACGAGTGCGGGCAACCCGCTTCTCGGAGTTCACCATAGCTAATGAGCCTGACAAGATTTTGCGCCTTGATTTAGTCCTGCTTGATGAGCAGGTATAGCACTGAGTACATGCTTTCTTTCTCTGCACACTATTTGCCTCCGCACACTCTTACATATTGAAACATCAACAGGGAGACATGATGGATGCGCAAATCCCAAGATGCCATGTTGATTAGTTCAAGCCTTTGCTAAAGGAAGGCGCTGTGTATTACATCAAATACTTCGAAGTCGCCGAGGCACGCCCCCAGTATAGGCCTGTTGATCGGCTGTTGATGGCAAAGTTCACTGCTCACACAACCGTTATAGAAGATACTAGACCACCATCCACGTTCCCATCTTATGCCTGCAAAATTCTTTCTTTTGATGAACTCAGAGCTCGGGCTTACAAGAAAGATATTCTTTCAGGTAAGTCTCCTTGGCCCAGATCAATCTATATTATTGCTTATTAATCTTCTCCATTTCTAGCTTGCTGCCCTCATTTACTCATATATAGTTTTCCTCCCTCATATTCCCATGTAGATGCTATAGGCATAATGACAACCATCGGGCCAAAGCAGACTGTTTCTTGTGCAGGTGTTATGAAAGTTGTGCTTAATGTCCATATAACCAATGGAAGGTATGTGCGTATCGATACGTTACCATTCCAAACATATTGGGAAAATTGGAACCATGCCATTATAATTTTGCAAAATTTGAGATATGCCATCTTGACCCACATGTCATTGACTCATGTGGGTCCTACACGTCATTGAGATACCGATGGCATATCTCAAACTTTGCAAAATTATAATGACATGGTTCCAAATTACCCAAACATATTTCTGTTCTGGGTGAGTGAAAGCTACCATCCAAAATGAGCAACCTATGCACAGATAGATCATTATTGCTTTTTTCATGTGCATCATCGATTTCTTGGAAACATATTTGTTTCTCCTTTTTTTTCTAGACGAACATTCTCTGGCATCTTGATTAGTAGCAAATATGGATGGTTAAAAAGTCATCTGCATTATTTTCCAGTTCTTAGTTCTTTTATGTGCTTGCAGAGAAACTGCCGTCGTGGCATTATGGGGTCCCCATGCTACACAATTCCACGCTGAAAACTTGCAGCAGCAAGCAGACAATGGACCTGTTGTCATGTTATTTGTTGGTTTAACTGTTAAATTTTGAGACCGTAAGAAATAAATTCCTGTTCTATTATCCCTCCTATCTCATTTGCATATTTTCACTGTTCTAACTCACATGATGTGTTCTTCCGTCTTTGACAGGCCAGCTAGCCCTACAGGGTAGCACTGTCTGTAGATGGTATCCTAATGCACCAATCCAGGAAACAATCTCCCTCATAAGCAGGTGCCACTTAGCTATGCTCTTTTCGTACACATAGTGTCACGACCGGAATTAACCCAACGGGCATTCCTTACGTGCGTGCATTATTCCTTGTCCTAGGAGGCATGGTACACCAAAAGTTGATACAATTCAGAGTTTAACAAGAGGAAGCATAAATAGTTAATTTATTACATGGGCGGCGAAGGCCCAGCACACATGAAGACAAACGAAAAACAGCGGAAGACTAGGGCGACGACCACAGGCGCTTGACGGCAGGCACGAGCTAGACACCAAAGCCTTCATCTTCCAGGAACTCCTCTTCTGGGTTTGGGAAAAATTGAGCAAGACTGAGTACAACCACCGTACTCAACAAGACACACCCACAAGTGCAGAATAAATGCAAGGGAGTACAAGGGAGTTATAATATAGGGGGTTAGGGTTTGCAGTAAACAGCATTAAAAGACACTTAGTTGCTCAAGCTACCTTGCAAACACGATCCTAGAGCTATACAATATTATTAATCAAGGCCGTGAACCCACACGAACCTGCCTTAACCCAAGGCCTACGATGATTCAGACCGAACTGGCAACCCGACCCTGGGTCCCAGCTTGTCCCAAGCCAACCCAGGCCAACCATTCCACATTTTAGTTGTTAAGCAGGTTTTAAGAATTTAAAACACTAACTTGGGTACATTGCTAGGCTTGCCCATAACCGAGGGCGCGGCTATTCGAATAGGTTATACTCTGATCAGAGGTGTACATCTTTACCCACAAGACACATCTTCCTCACATGTAACCACGTGCCACATACCACCACGGTATACGGACGAAAGACGTGACATAGTTCCGAACCCATCCTAGCCATAGACAAGAGTACCGACCCAGCCCCGCCTACGGCCGGAACCTCCGAGACAGGTAGGTAGGACCGAGCCCCTAGCAGCAGGACACCAGCCCTGTGCCATGACATCTCGACTACCGGGCCACAGCTCGTGTAGCCTTCATTTGTCCTAGAGATGTCCATCGACCCCCGACTTCGTCCATCTCCATCCGTGTACTTTTGTTTATAACCAGACTGAGCCACAAACTAAGCCTTACCCACTAGACATGTGGAAGTACGGTAGTGCTTTGCAACAGAGGCCCGAAGACCGGTCCTTATATGACCGAGGTGCTACTATCAAAACCATGCACCCCGAGCCCAGCCTAAAACCATTTTGAGGGTTTTGAATAGAGGGGAAGGTGTGCATCCAATTCCACAATAATCCAACCATTCCATAATGTCCAAGTGATATGAATATTCCCAAAGTCTAGAGTTGTAAAACCACCTAATGTTGCCTAATTAAACTGTGAAGCATCTACCTAAATTCATACTAGTGGTACCATGAATAGAGTACCCACTAGTTGGGGTTTTATTTATTCTAGGGTGAACAAGGTAATAATAACAATAACAATAATAATAAGGTCATAACAAAGGTAAATAGGCATGGCTAAATAAAACAGTGATAACGCGGGAATTTAAGTAAAGCGGTAATGCAATAATTTAAATCAAAATAATTTTATAAACTGGGATTCAATATGCTCAAGGATGATGTGACTTGCCTTGCTCGCTTTCCCAAACGTCGGCTTCAACCTCCACGTAGAGCGGATCTTCCGAAGCTGCAGCGTCTACACGACCAACGGAAAGGAAAAAGGCTTTTACTCTAATAAACTCCATATAACAAGCAGGAACAAAGCACAAAAATGGGTTCTTGACTTCTTAAGGAAAAATTAGAGACTTGAACGGTCCAAATCTGTAACACCCTGAAAATTCGTCCGACAAAAATCTAAACTCTAAAAATATGGGCCTTCAAAAACTTTTTAAATAAATTGCATCATGCCGATTTTATTCGCCTATTTCATTGGATTTTGATTTCGGAGTTTGTTGATCGCGAATAAAGAATAATTAATTAGGAATAAAACCTAAAATTAAATGAGCAAAATAAATAATTGAAATATAATTTAAAATAAAGGTTGAGGTGGGGATAGAAACAAATAAAATATTATCGCGATCATATTTGTATTAATTAAATCTAAATACGACGGAATGAGAATTAACTCTAATTAAAATCAAGTAAATTATATAAAAATAAAATATGGGTACAATTAATCTAGAGTGGATCCATTCGTTAGGATAATACACGTATTGAGTAAACTTCATTTATGCAAGATTTAGAAATTATAGAATCAAATTTATATAGGAAATAAACTAAAATCGGGATAAATAGGAAAGTACACTGTTCATTATGGCGTAGGTGTTCGATGCGGTCCCTAGCCTTCCCCCTCCTCTCCCACCTCTGCGCCCTAGCCGGCCTTGAGGCCCGCATCGCCGCCGCCCGTCGCGTCGCCGCCCCGCGCTGTCGCCGTCGCCGACTGTCGCCGTCGCCGACTGTCGCCCCGCGCCGTCGCCATCGCCGCTGTCGCCGTCGCCGTCGTGTCGTCGCGCCTTGCGCCCCGAGCCGCCGTCGCCATCCATCGCCGTCGACGTCCCATCGCCGTGCGCCCGTCACCGTCACGCCTCGTGCCGCGCGCCCGCCGCCTCGCGCCCCACGCGCCGCGCGCCATCGCTTCGCCGCTGCTGCGCCGCGCCGCCATCCCGTCGCCCCGCGCGCCCACGCGCCCCATCACCGCCCGTCCCGTCGCAGCGCGCGTGACGCCATCGCCACCTGCCGCCGCGCGCCGTCGCCCCGCGCCTCGAGCCGCGCCGCCGTCACGTCGCCGCCCGTCGCGTCACCGCCGTCGCGTCGCCGCCTTGAGCCCCGTGCCGCCGTCGCGTCACTGCCCCTTGCCCCGCGCCGCCGTCATGTCAGGCCGGCCACCCCTCCCCCTCTCTTTCTTCCCCTCTCCCCTATAAATACCCCTTCCCCCTTCTCCACCCCACTCCATTCCCTCCTCCTCTCCCTCTCCCCCTTCTCCACGCGCCGCCGTCGTTGTGCCACCGCGCAGCTGCCTTCGAAGCCACCGCGCCGCCGCCGCGAGGCCGCCGCGCCGTGCCGCGACTTGCGCCGCCGTCGCCATCGTCGCCACCGCCGCCGCCGGTGAGCCGTCTTCCCCCCTCCCCCCCTCGCGTCCACCGCTGTCGCCGCCCCGGTGAGCAAGAGCCGAGAGAGGGAGAGAGGAATGGAGAGGCCGAGGGAGAGAAAGAGAAGGAAAAAAGAAAAGAAAAGAGAGAAAGAGAAGGAAAAAGAAAAGAAAAGAGAGAAAGAGAAGGAAAAAGAAAAGAAAAGAGAGAAAGAGAAAGAAAAAGAAAATAGAAAAGAAGAAAAGGAGAAAATAGAAGAGAAATTAGGGGAGAGATTAGGAGGATTTAGGAAATAAAAATGGTCGGGGTTAATCATAATTTTTAGGAAATTCCTAGAGTGTAATAGTATTTCGATCGAAATTCCGGGTTAATTATAGAAATATGTTTCTTGATCGGATTAGATTAAAATTGGTAGTAATTTAGATGTAATTAATAACTAAACAATTAGATGAATTCTTATAGATTATTATAGATTATTTTTGGTAATCTCTATAAGTCATCGATTCACGGTAGAAATTTGGATTTAATTACTAGGAATTTTAGCCGTGTATTATATTTAATCGTTTAGTCATAGACTAAATTAAATCGTACAATATTATAAGATAATTTTAGGATTTTGTCATATATTTAGCTCGCGATAGAAATTTCTAACCTATTATATGGATGTAATACCCGGGCGGATTAAATTAAAAACTTGTGCTAATAAAATAATTTTGCCACAAAATAGTTTGGGGATGGATAGAGTTAAACAAACGGAGTAGCTCTATTTCACGAACGAAAATAGATAATGTAAGAAACCGACTTCCGCGCTTGATATCTTCTTGGATTTACTTGGATCTTTATTTGAATTCTAACCGAATTCAAATCGTTTCTTCGCACGTAATTATAGAGCCCGAGGGAGTTGCAGATCCAAGCGAAGGACAAGACCCGCAAGACTTTGAGCAAGGCAAGTCATCACTATTCTTTGAATATGTTGGTCCCAATTGCGAAATTATTTTGTTTATAAAAATTGCATGCAATAATGAACAGCCTACTTGCGATTATGCCATGCCTTGATTATTGTTTACCCTTATTCCTTCGTAACCATGTTTACGTATGAGTCCCTAGTCAATTATGACAATTGCTTAGAAATGCTATTTTAGAATCATGCATGCTCATATTTATCAAATGTTATATGCTTGGGCAATTACCTTTGGGAAGGTAATTGAGATGCGGCATGTGGAGACATGAGCGCCACATTGCCCTGATGTTGATGACATGATTTGTGGAAGGAGAAATAAAATTAAACAACTGTTTTCGACTAGGGCGGACGGAGGATTTGGGTGGTATCCGGGAAAGGCTAGCACCGTCCCCGGTCAATTAAGGACCGAGCCATGAAGTTAAGCATGAAACGACCCCCGTACAACCGCACTTCTTGTATGGGTATAGACCTAGCGGAATAAATAGCTGAGCGGAGGCAGTATCCATGCATAGTGGTTTCTTGATGTGGGAGGCAGGGGCTCTACGGTGGGGCAGCCATTGGTAGAACCGCGAGGCGGGTGTCTACAGTGGTGTCGCCATCAGTGGGACTGCCATGCGAGAATTTAAATATAATTATAACTTAATGCATGTGTGAGTCTTTCCTTCCCGGGTGCGCCAGAACTCCTCTCACTGCTAGAAACCGTGTATGCCTAGAGTGCATGAGGATGTAAAGTTCATGGAGCGGGTACTGCCAATGCGAGGTTATCGAAAAACTTTGCCGTGACGCGTCTCATGTGTTGGGACGAGGCTCATGTGTTGGGCAGTCGCGGAGTGCAGGTAAAGTGTACATCTACTGTAGTGTGAGTAAACCAAATCTATTCGAATAGCCGTGCTCGCGGTTATTGAGCATCGGGACATGTATTACACTTGGCTAGACTCTAAATTCTTAACTTGTGTGGGATGGGATATTGCATGATGATTTCTAAGCTGATGGAGCCACTTCCTGAGAGGCGAGAAGGTGGACGTCCTCAGAAAACCATGACGACACAACGGCGGGAAGCTATCTTTGGGATCACAATGGATGGTGGACAGAACCGTCGTTGTTTAATGAAAACACTGGTACTAAAATTTGATCAGTCTGTGCTAAGTCTTAGGTTTGCGAAAAGAATTACAAAACTTTCTTTGCGCAAAAGAACCATAGCCATCCTTTGAATACCCCTATCATATGCATTGTTGCTGTGGTGGCTTGCTGAGTACGGTTGGTACTCACCCTTGCAATATACAAACTTAATCAGAGGTCGGAGATGAAACTTCGGAGGATCCCTACGCTTACTACTAGGAGGGTGATGAAGACGACGGCGCTCAGTAGGTCTTAGTTACGGTCGTTGCCTGTGGCAATGGCGTGCCGCTGCCTTAACTCCGCTGCCTTATCTACTTCTGTTTTTGGAATGTATTCCGGACCGCTCGGTCCGAAGATTTAAGACTATGCCTGCGGGCTTTTGATGTAATAATTCGCACTAGACTTTCGTGTATGTGCATTTGGTATTTCAGCTATGAACTCGTGTGTACCAGACTACTTGATCTAGAGAAATGGTACTGTTTACACGATTGATTCCTATTATAAAAACGGGGGTCCACAAAATCCGAGTTCAAATGGCCAAGTTATGGCCATTTGAAGTTTATATGCTCTTTAAGTGAATATTTGCGAATTTCTTCATTTAAATTTTAATTTAAAAAGGATTTATTGCGTCAGCCGAGGGGAGGGGGCGCGCGGACTGGGTCCACGGGAGTGGGGCCCACGTGGCAGCCTCACGGTCCACGGTGGACCGGGCGCACCCGGGCTCACACCGGCCGGCGCCATGGGCCCCACGCGTCAGCCGCACCCGAGGGCGCGGGCGGCTGACGGCTGGGCCCCACGCGGCGGCCACACGGCGCGCCCGGAGGCGGCCACGACGGTGCAGCCGGCGGGAGGCGGCGCCCGCGCCCCTATGGTCGCCGGCGGCGGCCATAGGCACGGCGGAGTGGCGGCCGAGAGAGAGGAAGGGAAGGGGGAAAAGAGGCGGCGGTCCACGGCTCACCCAGGGTCGACGGCGACGACAAAGGAGGCGGCCGGAGCGGAGGAAGGTGGCAGCGCGGCTCGGGTGGACGGGGACGACGGTGCTCCGGCGGTCGGCGAGCTCGGCGAGGTGGTGGACGGGGTCGGCGGCGATGCGGCGAAGCCGGAGAAGGCGACGCCGAGGCGGGAGATGGTCCCGGCGAGCGGAGAGGGCCGGCCGGAGGTCGTCGGCGACGGAGGAGAGAGAGGGCGACGGCGCGAGCTCGTTTCCGGCGAGGAGACGGTGCGGCAAGTGGCGGAAATGGGCGAGGGTGACGCGGGGAGGGTTTAAATAGGGTTGGGAGGGAGAGAGGGCCGCCGGCGGGGAAGGAAACCGGCGCGGGAGGTCCGGCCGCCATCAATGGCGCCAGCGAGATTTGCGGGAGCAAATCCGGCCGTTTGAATGCGAGAGAGAGAGAGGGAAAATGGGGGGAAAGGGGGAGGGGATCACGGGGAATAATTCCCCCCTACTTAATTGCACGCGGGGGCGGCGGGATGTGACGGATTCGGCGGCAGCGGCGGCGCTTGGCGCGGGCGGGGCGGTGGGAGCGGCGGGAGGACGGGGATGACGGGTGGGCCCCACCCGTCAGCGAGGGTGGCGGGCGGGCCCGCCCGTCAGCGGCGCGCGCCCCTGGAGAGGCCGAATGGGCCGTAGGGGAGAGGAGAGAGAGAGAGGAAGGGAGATGGGCCGAATTCGGCCCATCCGAGGGGAGAGAGATTTTTAGGGTTTTTTTTTATAAAACCTTTTCAACTTTGTTTATTTCTTAATAATTATTATTTGTGCTCTGAAAATTCCACTAAAATTTATTTACACATTTTAGGCTTTTAGGAAATATACAAAAATCCTCCAAGCCTTATTTGACTTTTAACTTTGCACATTTTAATTTTTGGAGGCTTTCACAAGGATTTTAATTATTCTAAGCATAATTTAAAGGGTATATTTTAAGGTCGTTTTGGGACGTGACACATAGACATCCTTCTACTTTATTCAACATATTTTTTCACTCCCTTATGTGTCATGTAGATCAATGCTTTTCCCTAACCTACAAACCAGAGCACTAACTTCTTTCACATTTGAAGCCTTCACAGTAACCCACAGGTGGTCAAGATGATAGAGGCTAACTTCGGTCAGAAGGAAGCTATAAATGTCAAAGTTTTTGATATTTGTGACCTTAATCCCCATGAGGCCTTGGTAATATAACCTACAGCGCTACTAGTGATCATTATTTCCATCATATGTTATTAGCGCCATCCTTTACTTGTTCCATTTTTCGCATGTCAACCAGGGCAATAGCTATGTTGTCAATATAATCATCAGGGATTTGGTTCCTGCTGAGCCTTGGTGGTATATAGCATGCAGCATCTGTAAGAGAGGCACAGCTAGAGAAGGAAACGCATATAAATGCCCGAGATGCAGCACTGATGCAATAGAAACAAGGTGCTCTTATCATATGCACACCTGTAGCTTTTCTCAAGTATTTTACATGATGAACCAATCTATATGCTACAATTCAATCCACGTGTATTGAGAACTGTCTGAACTGCCTTCTATAATAGGTATAGAGTAGCTATCATGGGTATCGATCCATCAGATTTGGCAAACGATCAAGCCAAAGCTGCTGAGTTTACCTTTTTTGGAGAAATCGGTGAACAATTGATTGGCAGGCCTGTTCTTAACCTGGTTGCATCTGTTCATGGAGCACGAGATATAGTACCACCAGAGATCAAAGCAATTTTTGGCAGACAATATGTCATTAGAACCAGTGTGTCACGTGGCTCATTGCAAAGAAATCGGGTATCCTACCAGGTGGATTCCCTTATGCTACCCCACCCAGATCCAAGCCATGCAATTTGTCTACCCAGCCATGATACTTGCGTGGGCTCTTCTGGACATGGCTCAACATCAGCTAATGCAGTTGAACCACATGCCATCGTTTTGTCTTCTACTCAATCTATGCCACCTTCTACGCCGCTTGTGCTTCCAGATACAAAGGTATAATCTAATTTTGTTGTCTTATAAGGATATGTGACCTGTTACATCTAAGTTACCATAATTTCTTAGATTATATCCTTTTTGTATATGACACAAGGGATAGCCATGGTGATCAGCATGAGGCAACACCACCTACTCCACAGGCTAGCAATATATTTTATACTCACATCAATTATATGCATATGTCTTTGTCAGACCTTCCTGACCATTATTACTTTATCAGGTCATAGCTATAGCACAGCTAGATAAAAAACATAAATCTTCTACGGCTGATGAGAATCTTGGCCATGGAGGGTTAGTGCCAATGGAAAATTTCATGTTTTACTTTGATTTCTTCTCTTTTTCCTCATGACTCAAACAACTTCCATTTGTAGCTCATCTCCTGATGAACATGATTGTCGCAAGCCTTCTGTTGTGCGCACACTGTTCGTACACAAGCTGCCACCGGAGCCGCCAAAATGTGACCAACTATACTCAAGCAACTTCTTGCCTCCTCATTTGTTATAGCAAAAATGTGACTCTGCTTTACATTCTTCATTTCAGGACTTGAGCCTCCCATGTGATATCCCTAGAGCGAAGTGACCTTTTGCACCTGGCATGGCAACACGTATACTTCTCTCTCTGATTGAAGCAAAGCTAAAATACTTTGGTCAATCTATTTTGCAGTGCCAACATAGAAAAGAGAAATGTTCTTTTGCGCAAGCCATTGGACCAATCGATATTAGTTTTACCTGTTACGGGCTCACTACCCCTAATAGCTAGCCAAATGATAAATGAATTAGTATCAGCAGTGTTTGGTGTCTATAATATATGCACGTTCTGACAAATATCGCTGCAAGTGATAAGACATAGTCTTATTAATAGTACTATATCTATTCTGCTTATACTACTTCCTTCCTGAGCAATCTGCTTACATTTGTGCCATAGAATCACCACTTCTGTTGTTTCTTATATATGAAACCATTGTACCTACGCATGTCTATCCAGGTGGTTGCAGACCATGTATCGATTATTTTATACCGGATAGTTGTTCTCCAGCGTACACTGTCCTATTAGAGGTAAAAAAAAAGTTGTTGCATAGGCTGCAAACATAGATTTCTTCTTTTTTTCCCTTTTTATGTGTAGAGCATCCGACCAGGCACCATTCTTCTCAGCAATGCTTTTCATCAGTGCAGACATCCAAACCATTTCAGAACACCAGAACATTCACATCTGTACATCAGTCAATCGTGCTATAACGCTACTCCAGTGTTACCGCATACCCACACAAGCATAACTAATAATCATACATAAACACGATAGATTTTAGCTAGCCGCTTAAATTACCATTACATTACAAACTGCATATGTCCTTCTATATAGACATGAATGCATAACCAACATATAGCATATATACATATTGTTTCATCCATCCAGGCCCAGCTATACACAACATTTGCTATATAACACACACTTATTACAATTGGCCACAACAACCCTACCAATAACTTACTGCTAATAACAGTCACAACCCCTGTTCTTTTTTGTCAGCTTCATTCCCAAAAGCAATCCATACAGATGTTCTTACAGGCACCTATCAGTAGCACTGCTAAGGTTAGCCAACCCTTCATCCATTTTAGATTCAGCATATTCACCAAGACGATGCACATCATATAGCACTCCAACCTCACGATGATTAAGATCATCAGCACCAGGGCAAAGCAAAGGAACATGTATCATTACATATTTGATTCACAGAAGCCAATGAATCTAAAGCTCTATCCCAACCAATTTCTAGCAAACGAGCCTTCTTTGCAAGACTATTACGTTCCTTCCTGACTCTCCCAAGAGCTCTCTTCAGTCAGAACACCTCAGCGTGATAGCGATTCATATCAAGCCAGTTCGTATCTTCGATCTCCACTCTGCACTCTTTCTTGATAACAGCAATTAGTGCATGTGCAGCACTTTCTTCCGCATCACATGGCCTTATAGCTGGGATGCCATGTGCACGAACAAGAAATGGCTCTTCACCTCCTCTTACACCATAAACAGATGCCTCAGCAGAGCCAACATACCCATCAGTGACAGCATGACAATTATAGCGTGCCTCATTAGCGCCTATGCTTCTAAGGATCTCAGACAACAACATTTTCGACCTGATGTGCACAAGGTGGCGTTGTTCTGTTATACCATAACAAAAACAGAGTCAGTAAGAATAGCAGCATCATAGGTCCATCCCCTTTCCTTTCCCCTTATTCCTAAAATTTCCTACACAGGTACATATAAATATAACCATATCTTTTTACCAGATCACCAAATGAAATAACAGGCATTCAAATCCCTACCACATCAATCATCTGTATTTTTTAAAAAGAGACATGACCTATTCTAGAGAGCTCAAATAGATTGAGGTCACCGTTCAATTAACAGCCTACACAGCCACCTTGCAAACTGTAAAATACTATTGGCCATTCCATAGTCTTCCAAGCCAACATAGATCAACTTAAAAATAATCGTGCCACTAAAAAAACACCCAACCCCATTTCCATTATATCGAGCAGATTAAAGACTGAGCCAAACTATCACCACAAATTAGTAAAGAGCACACCTCAATCCACAGGGTTAATCGCTGTATATGCATACATACCTTGCACAAGTTCATCCATGCTAGCTAAATGTCCTTTGGCTAAACCGCTAAGATCAGCAGCGCCGCCGCCGCATCGATTCAGCGTTAAAAAAACAGCCAGCACTCCTACATATATACCAGCCCCAACAAAACATATGCAATGACAGCACAACACGTTGCCCTAGGACATTCATCCTTAGCTGAAAAAGGCCTTGCATCCTGAAGCCCACCAGCAGCCCACTATTTATACACCAGCAGCCCACTATTTATACTCTTGCACACCTTTAAGAGCCCAACGTCAAACATAAGCACAAAAGCCCATAGCTCCTTGATATGTTAGCCCGATCAGCCCACGATAACAACAGAGAGATCTAATGCTTACTGCTGCACGACCTAAATAACCAACTAAATACGACCTAAACAGCCAACTTAAAAAAGCCGCTTTCCATCAATTGTTACATCGGTACAGATCAAATAACACGAATCGGTTATAAACCGCGCGGCGTAGCGCGCGAACCCGCTCTAGTATATCTTATTATATCACAAACTTCTACCTTGTGTGCTGAAATACAAATCCGCTTGTAATGGTGGATTCTCTGTGCCTTTGAACCTGCAATATAAAGAATACTTCTTATGAAAACTCAACATGAACTAATAATCTTAATCTTGGTTCTGAAGAGAAGAGAAGGGAAAGACTGAAATCACAAAATGCAAGCAAAGATTAAGGTGATGTTGCTGCAAATGGTGCTGACCTCATCCAATCGGAGAGCGCGGGCGGCAGATGGTGCAGCCGATGGTTGAACTCGCCAATCAAAGGGTGCGGCTTCATCAATCGGAGAGGCAGTTGGAGACGGTCCGTGACGGTTCAGGCGCCCGACTCCCCTGGCTTCGATGACGTGGGCCAGCCATTGGGGCGTCGATGCAGGGTAGGCGACAGGGAAGGTTTTCGACCGGGCTTGGAGGTGTGGAACCGGTGACCGCGGCGAACGCGGGCACGGGGTCGGCGACGGACTCACCGTGGTCCTGGTCGACGTGGAGGTGATGCGAATAGGCGGGGGAAAAATCGGTGATGCGGCGCGACGGTGAGGGCGAGGCGACGACCATGTGATGAGGTCCACCTAAAAGATTCTGACCGATCAATGAAAAATGAGAAATGTTGGTCAATGTTAGACAATTATAGGTTAGATACTCTATCCGTCCCAATATATTGTAATCTAGGATGGGTCTAATCCCATTTTAGGTGGACCCATCCTAGATTACAATATATTGGAACGGAGGGAGTAATTGTTAATGTATGATTATATGATTATGTTAAGCTTTACGAATCAGTGATTGTTATTGGATAATGATATGACATCTTTATATATTAAGCTTTAGAAATTAGTGGGTTATAACTTTATAGTAAGAAATGATTCATGCCAAGTCACCGTCCGGCAAGAAGTGTTGATCGGAAAAACAGGCCACCTCCCGGGCACTGGGCCGGAAATCCCATGAGCTTTTTCTTTGGAAGTGATCCGGGCGAGAGTCTGCAGTGAGCCCATGACATACGACTCCGATGCAAGTTATACTGCTAGAACACCCGTTGATTTTAAGGCACACTATAAACCTTTCAGACACAAATCATGTCCTTGTTAACTCCCAAAAGCGTAAGTTGGGTTGGTAGACCAAGGGACTGTTCATTTTAATACCATTTTCAACCATACCATATTTTGTTAAAGTTACCAGAAAAATATCTACGTTTAGTTTGTTGTCAAATTTGGTCAATATATAAGAAATCCTGCCAAGATATTTCCCAAAAGCGTAAGTTGGGTTGGTAGACCAAGGGCCTGTTCATTTTAATACTATTTTCAACCATACCATATTTTAGTAAAGTTGCCAGAAAAATATCTACGTTTAGTTTGTTGTCAAATTTGGTCAATACATAAGAAATCCTGCCAAGATATTTTGACAATATTATCATCTTATCAAAATTTTGGCATTACCAAAACTTGGTAATGTTTATTTTGGCTACAATCTGAATAGGCCCCAAATAAATTCTACTATATTGAAGCAAATTTTCTTTTAAAAAATTATGGAATATGATTGAAGTAGATACCATTTGGGCCAAAATCAGTCTCCTAAAAATGCAAGAAGTTCAAGATAAAAACAAGGTCTCAAGTTACTGCACATACATGATACATCAAAAGATCCGTTAAAAAAATTGACAGCGTACACATGATAGCATATTTACATTGAAGATCACTTCTAGGTGTCGCATAGCATAAAACTACTTTGGAACTACTGTCTCCACAATGAAGACTACTTTTGAAGAGACATATAAATAATTTACATTTCATCCTTTTCAGTGTTTATATCAAGACTTGCTTCGTTTTAATTTATATCTACATCCAAAATCATGCACTGAAAACCCAACTACAATAAACTTATTTTTTTCGTGTCGGCACTTTTCTCTCTCTGTTTCCTCTTTCTCCATTCGGGAATCCCTTTGAACGGATGAAGGTTAGAAGCTCGTTGCTAGCTTGGCCTGAGACGGAGCGACGACGAGGCAACGCTAAGGCGGAGTAAATGGTAATAGCAGCGGTGGAGTGGCCTAATCTGGTCGGCCTAGCCAGCAAAAGGGACCCTCGACAGCAGCACGATCCTCATTGTTGGAGCGGCTCGAGGCGATGGCCTTGGTTGCAACACGACTTGGCTCGACGACTTTGATGGTGGTGGTTCACGACGAATCCCATCTATTTTCCTCTCTAGCGGATTACTTAGGCTAAGTTTGTTTCTTAGAGTTCCCAACCCCTATTCCCTCGTTTCCCGTGCTCACGCTTCCAAATTACTAAACATTATGATGTTTGCAAATAAATTTCTATCAAAAAGTTGATTTTTTAAAAAATACTAATTTATTTTTCAAATATTTTAGCTAATACATAATTAATTATGAGCTAATGAGCTGTTCTGTTTTTCGTGTTAGAGGAAAAGGTTCTCACCCTTCACAATCAAACACATTCTTATTTTTCTCGCCTCTAAGAAGCCGCCTGTGCCTTTGCAAATACGAAGATAATCAGACACCGCTGCAAAACAATTTTCCTATCTTGGGGTATGTTTAGGAGCTGTTTTTTTAGCAGCGGCTGTGGCTGGAGAGTTCAAAGTAGCTGCAGCTTGCAGCAATTTTGGACTGCCGCAGCCGCAGCGACTGGGGCAGGTATGGCTGCCAAATAGAGCCACCTTATCTTCTCTACGGCTGCTCATGTCCTACATGAATCGCAGGGCACTCGCCATGGAGCATTGCGATTTGTGAATGCCCTGAATAATCAGATACTCCAACGAGATTACGCAGGATTATGTAGGAGATGTACCGAGCGAGATTAGGAACGAT